GGAAAAAATAAAATAAATAAAATCTTTAAAAAAAAAAAAAAAAAAAAAGAAGAGGATTAGGACAGTTATCCATGCACAATAGTTGTAGATTCTTGGTGTTGGTTGTAGTGTGGGAAAAAGTGTTGGGAAGATGTGAGGTGATAGGAGAGGGACACCACGAAGAAGTAAAAGGCATGGGTTAGCTAGTGGGAGAAAAGGGAGACAAGAAGGCCGGGGATGAACCAGAGAGGGCCCAGAAGCTCTGAGGTAGGAAGTCTCTGCAGTGCTCACAGCCTGGGAGGACCTGGGCAGCAGGAGTGGAGGGAGCTGGGGAGCACTGGAGAGGGAGGGGGCATGCAGTCTGCATGCCTGCTTTGCTTATGTTGACGTGGAAAGGACAGGTAGTAGATGGAAGGGGAAGAGAAGAGAAAATGGATTTTGAACAAGTTTTAGGAACAGAGGAAAGTCGCAGAGGAATGAGGAAAGATTCAAGCTTGAGAGTTGCCATCCACGTTTGATTTGATCTGGCTATGGTTTGCTTAGGAAACCTGGGGTGGTGACCCGTTTTGAGATAGCTCACCTGTGGTGTGAGGCTTTTGATCCCACACTAAATGGAGTCCAGTGATATCCGGGCCCAGGCACCATGACGTACCAGGCACTGTGTTTGGTCAAGGAGTTTCCAAGTAGTGTGTGAATAGTCACTGCCCTGAACGAGTTACAGTGAGACAGGAGGGAAGTGCTGCTGCTGTATCCAGTGTTGTGGGAGGAGAGAGTAACACCATGGAGAGAAGGACTGTTGGGGCAGAACTGGGTTGAGGGAAGGTGAAGGCGGTGGTCTGGAATTGCTGAGTAAACTCCCTAAGGGATCAGTTGGAATTAAGGTGTCAGTTGACTCGGGTCTCCATGTCTAATTCTTTACTTAGGAGGTGATAGATAATTTAGGCTCCTGTCCAAGTAGGCTTGCCATCAGACGGAAATGAAAACCTTCAGCCCTTGCTGCTACCCAAAAGGCTCAGCCTGGCTTTTTGGGATTTGGGCAGTGAAGGGGATTAGGAGAGTCCTTAAATCAAAAGTCAGGATGAGAGAAATTTGCTTAATTGAGTAACTTTATCAAAGTTATTAGAGGCTTTCTAATGGGGCACAAATTGATGACTTAAGGGCTGTGTCATCGTCATGGCTGGTATTTGTCTGGTGGACTTTGTAGGGTTCAAATCAACAGCAGCTGATCCTCTCAGCAGCCTTGGGAGGTGTTATCCTCACGTATTCTCCCATTTACCAGAGGCCAATTCTAAGAGATTACTGTTTATGGCTAGTTCAGTGTTGTTACAACCAGAAAGTGGCAAAGTCTAGGCTCTAATGCAGGATGATTTCCACCTGAGGCACATGAAGCAAAATATTTTTTTAACTCATAAATTTTTAAAAATTTTGGTAAAATGCACATAACATAAAATTTACCATCTTAACCATTTTTAAGTGTGCAGTTCGAGAGTAAGTACACTCACGTTGTGCAGCCCGTCTCCACAAGTCTTTCCATCTTGCATTAGTGTTTCATTAAACACTAACTCCTCACCCCCCTTTCATGCCAGCCCCTGCCAACCACAGTTCTACTTTCTGTCTCTCTGAATTTGACTACTCTAAGTACCTCCTGTGAGCAGAATCATACCATATTTGTCCTTTTGTCACTGTACCATTTTACATTCCCACCAGCAGGGAGCGAGAGTTCCCATTTCTCCACATCCTTGCCAACACTTATTTTCTGTTTTTTTTTTTTTTTTTAGTAGTATCCGTACTAATATGTGTGAGGTGGTGCCTTATTGTGGTTTTGATTTACGTTTCCCTAATGATTAGTGATGTTGAGCATCTTTTCCTGTGCAAGCAGAATTTTAAAGAGGTCCTTTCAGGGCAGGGTGTCATCATCTGGGTAAGTCCCAGTGCTGATTGCCTGAGCGTTTTCTGCAGGGAATAACTGTAGAATAAATGGCCCAACACGTTTTCAAACCTGTCCAGTGGTAAAGCTCACAGATTTATCCCTTTGTTTTGGAAGGACTTTGAGACCTAGAGATATTAAGTGACTGGTGAAGGGTCATGGAGGTGCTGAACTTGAAGAAGTGGAGGGGGGAATGGTCGAGGCCCTGGGAACTCGGGGGTCCTCAGTATCACTGCTGGGACTAGAATTCACTCTTTCAGCTTCTGGACCAGGGTTCTTCAGAAGTGCCAGGCTACCAGGGTTCTGAAGATCTGAAGCTCAGTTTCTCCTATTGCTTCCTTAATGATTCGTAGACGCTCATTTATAGAAGAAATAATTCTTGCATACCTCCTCTGTACCCGGTATTGTGCTGGGGATAAAGCAGTGAGTGAGAGAGACATGATCCCTGCTTTCACGGGTTATTGTCTGGCCTTGGAAATTTCCTTACCCTGGCAAAATCAGTAAAATGGTGTTACTCTTTGGGCTATCTCTGCATATTAATAATTATCATTTAAATGTTGCATGATGGACAGTGACAGTTTATTTGAATAGGGTTTTTTTTGGACCTCTGTGGTTGTTTTTTTATCCTTTCATAATTAATAATTAGTAGAGATAATTTGAGATTACGTAAATGTCCTGTTCCTCATCAAACTTTTGCCCACTTGTTTTAACTTCCTTTGATAATTTTCTAAGTCCGTTGTTCCTTCCATATTGGTTTACATTGTAGAATGAAAGAGCTTCCCCTTCTTCCCTATTTATGTAGCAGTAGAGATTCATGGATTCTTTTGTTATTTAATGGGTTGTGATTCATTGCTATTTATTTATTTTGATGCCCAAAGTATCCCAGATTTGTCTGGTAGGAACCCTTTAAGCTGGCTGGCTCCTCTGTCCTCTGGACACATCCTCATGGCTCCTCGAGCGCTTCCTTATTTTACGGCACAAGATGTTCCAAGCCCGTCTTGTACTTTCTGTGTCCCAACCTGAGAATCAGCCATTTCTTCAAGGAGCTCTGGTTCCTTTCAAAGAAGAAGGATACTAAAAAGACGAAGATCTGGGTGCTGGAGTGCTCTTTGCTGCTGGTGTGTCATTGCTTCCAGGGCTTCTCAGTGGATCGAGCTGGGGAGTATGTGTTTGTGTGTCTGTCTCGCTGTAAGCACATATCTTGTATTTCCCTTGTATCTCTCTATTTAAAATGTAGACCTTTTAGGGGCCGGCCCGGTGGCGCAAGCGGTTAAGTGCGCGCGCTCCGCTGCGGCGGCCCGGGGTTCGCTGGTTCGGATCCCGGGCGCGCACCGACGCACTGCTTGGCAAGCCATGCTGTGGTGGTGTCCCATATAAAGTGGAGGAAGATGCGCACAGATGTTAGCCCAGGGCCGTCTTCCTCAGCAAAAAAAGAGGAGGATTGGCGGATGTTAGCACAGGGCTGATCTCCTCACAAAAAAAAAAAAAAAAAAAAATATGTAGACCTTTTAAATGAAACCCATGCGTGTAGGATTCTAATTACACACAGATGTGTAATTCTGGATCTATGTCATTCTCCTTTTCTCTTAATTTTTAACAGGTGGCTAAACCCCTTGTTTAAAATTGGTCACAAACGGAGATTAGAAGAAGATGATATGTATTCAGTGCTTCCGGAAGATCGCTCAAAACACCTTGGAGAAGAGTTGCAAGGGTAAGCACCAGGCAGTAATGAGAAGGATAAGAAGTAGCAGAACTTCTAAGGGTGTGGCTAATGGTTTAGAATGGGGTTTGCCTTCTGCCTTTGGGCCCTTCTGGAGCCTACTTCCCCTCAGGCTGTCCGGGCTTGGCCTACTTTGGTGGCTGAGGGACACTGTGTGTCCTGTGCATTTGTGGAAGTGGAGGGAGCCAGCAGCGAAGGCCCTGGATGCCGAGATCTGTCTTTGGAGGCGGTATCCCTGGAGGAGGTTGTCGGTGCTCATGTCTGCCTTCTTGGGCTGCTCACGGCACTCCACATCCAGCAGAGCTTGGCAGTAACTTCTTGTTTCCCGAGACTGGGACTTTTTCCCTCAAGGCCTGTTCTGGTGCTTTAGATTCTGCACCACACATATTTCAGGAGCCCTGCAAACAGTTAGCATTTATGGGACAGCCACAAAGTGCCCTGTAATAAACGCTTGTCTTTCATTCTGCCGCCTCTCCCTATGGCCGGGCACGCTGCCCTTCACTGCTTTGTTTCTCATTGCAGGTACTGGGATAAAGAAGTTTTGAGAGCCGAGAAAGATGCACGGAAGCCTTCTTTAACAAGGGCAATCATAAAGTGTTACTGGAAATCCTATTTAGTTTTGGGAGTTTTTACGTTAATTGAGGTAAAAGCTTTTACATACAGTGCATTGCTTTTCATTGTACTCAGAACGGTACTGAGATGGGTGGGACTATTGGGGAGAGAGGCTCATAGTTTAAGGTCTGAGGATAAAACACATCTAGGATACATGATGAGGCGCAGTGGTCATATTTATCTTTGGAAGGGGCGAATACTTAAATGACTGGACCTCAGGGAGATTATTATTTTTCTTTTAACCAGTTAAAATATAATGTCGTGGAAGGATAGCACTGAAAAGAAAAGACATTTTATACCATGTTAGGACATTGTTGGTGCTCAGTAAATGTGATAAATGCTAAGAGTGATCTTTCACCAAAAGGAGATCCTATAACCTTGAGGAATATGTGCCCTGTGGTTTGGAGGAAGTAAATTTGGGCCAGAACCCAGAAAAATAAGACATTTTACAGGTGCTCAACAAAAACTTAACTTGACCATGCCATATCTTGATAAATGCTTTCCGAAGTATTTGTATTGGGTATTGTCGCCTCCACTTAGAAACTGGGGCCCTTGAGTCTGGGCTGGAGTTGACCAGAGCTCCCAAGAGCACGCACCCTCTTTCTAGTAGGCTGGGTACTGCATGCCAACGTCCCCTCTGTGGAGGAGCTCCGGCCTCACCATGAATCCCGGTGAACCCGTGCATCACCCATTCTGGTTTCTTGTCCCTGGTTGTCGGGGTGGATTGGTGGTTGGAAGGTGGAGTCTTGGTAGCCTGGCATTGCAGGGAGTGTGGAGGCGGATGTGCAATGGAAAACGAAAGGCAGAGAGCCATGAGGTCAATGAACTCTATTACCCTGAAGGGCCTCAGTCAAGATCTTCCAGTAAGACAGCTTTCTACCTGGAGGTACAGTGCTAGTTCGCCTACCTATTCTAGGCTGCGGCCTGCTGGAGGTATGCTGAAAACCTGCCTGGGTGGCTTGTGCCCTCTGTGGTACCTTATGTACTACCTTAGGGACGCTGGTGGCCCTGCAAGTGTATGAGAGTAATAGAGATGTAAGTTGCAGGTGCTATGAAAGGGTTGTTTTAGATGCAGAAGTGTGGTGAGTTGTCATAAATGCATTTTGTTGGGGGTGAGATGGGTGGGCTCTTTGATTTGTATGTGGGAGGTGTAGCTCCTATTTAAAAGGCTCTTGTATTGAAGGGCACTGTGGGCAGCGGATAGCTAGGTAGGTGAACTCTGCCCTACACAACTGGAGAAAACCGAGAATCTGTCAGCTAATAGGTGACTGAAGGTCCTGGGAGATTGAAGTGCTCATTGATGACAAAGGTACATTGGCCAGTGTGCCAGAGGGTGGGGACAGGTATATGGGGCAGAGTGCCACCTTTGAGAGGGCACTAATTGCCACGTGGATACTGCTGTGGCCTTGTGAAGGGCAGGGTAGAGATGTAAACCAGTGGGACTGACTCCAGGGTGGGGAGTGCCAGCCTGACTTTGACCTGTGCACAGGTATCCCAATGATGGTGTTTCTACACGGTCACAAGTCTCAGTTTGAAATAAGCAGGGTGGCAAGCTGGTGTCACTGTGGCCTGTGTGTGCAGTATTCCTTGACCAAATGTGGTGGCTCGCCTCAGGGAGCAGAGCTCTGATGCATTCTGCTTCTCAGGAAGCCCCAGAGCCTCCCTGTGTGCCTGTGGTCCACGCCAGGTGTCTGGTTGGGGGTGGGCAGGGATGAGTGGCCTCCCTCTGCTGCCCCTGGCTCTCCAGTTTTCCTTTGCTACCAGGTGCTAAAGAAGCTGAAGATTGGCGGATCTCAACAGGTGGCCCATGTGGCTGGGTTTGAACTGAGCTGCTGGTTTTCTTCACTGTCACGGGCTGCTGGCTTCTTGGGGTGGCGTCTCTAAACCACAGATGGTGACTAGAACCCATCTCAAAATGAGCTGTCCATCTTTGCAGGGCAAGATTTGGGATAAGTAGACACAGAGGTAGAGGCCGCAGGAGCTGGGGTTCTTCCTGAGAGGGGATAGGCCCCACTGTGGTGCTGGGAGTGTTGATTTCACAGTTGTGCAGCCCCGGTAATACTTATTGATGGGGGATCCAGGATGGCCAGGATTGGGGGCTGAATGAAGGTGCAACTAGTGGAGAGCTGGCCTTTCTTTTAGGAGGTTGGTTATCGGGAAGTCATGGGAGAAAAGTAGAGACTAGAGTACCTGACCAACATGGAGACTCATACTGAGTAGTTTTAGTGTTAGTAGTAGCAGCAGCAGGGGCTCATACTCAGTGGTAGTGGTAGTAATGGTAGTAGTAGTACTCCTCTGTAGTAGTAATACTCAGCAGCAGCAGTAGGGGCTCATACTCAGTGGTAGTGGTAGTAATGGTAGTAGTAGTACTCCTCTGTAGTAGTAATACTCAGCAGCAGCAGTAGGGGCTCATACTCAGTGGTGGTGGCAGCGGCAGCAGCAGTACTGGCTGTAGTGTAGTAAAAACAATAGTAAGTACGTGAAAAATATGTGTCAGGAACTGCTATGAGCACTTTACATGTAATATTACTTTTATTCCTTTGGCCAAGGAAAGTATTATTATCCCCGTTTTTAGAAAAGAGGACACACAGTGCCAAGTAGTTACATAATGTGCCCGGGGTCACACTAAACATAAAGGACAGAGCCGAGATTCAGTGTCACGTGCTCTGACTTACAAGCCTGACCATCTCTGTGGTAGCTTGTCCAGTGTCACCGAAGGCTCGTCTCAAGAACTTTGTCTTCAGGGTCTCAGATACATGCATCTTGAAGTTGGCCTAGGGATAATAAGTAGGATGTGAAGAACTCCCTGGAGCAGGAAGTCAGATTGGGGATTGTGAATTAGGGTGGAGTCCAGGTGACACGTCCCCTGGGTGCTGGAGGTGGCTAGGGCATTGGCACAGGGCAGCATCATGGTGCGTTCAGATGGACCAGGAGTCCTTTAGAAAGCCACCTTCCACTCCTTACCATCTCCGAGTAGATGAGGTTGTGGCTATCCTGGTGACTGAAGTTCTTAAACATCCGCACTCTTAAGACACCATTTCAGATTGGCTCCTTGAGACGGACCAGTGGGAAGGTAGTGGTCTTGGAGGGGACTCAGATGATCTGGGCAGAGGTGGAGTTCTCTATGTTGTTACTTGGTGAGTATGCCTGGTTCCCTGCTGAGAGGTGTTATCTCTGAATCCTGGAGTGGGTGTGCATTTGCTTGGCACGGATGAGAACCCCAGGTCAGTCACTAGTGTAGGGGGCAGTTCTCCGGTTCTGGTGTCTGAACACACTTTGCATAGGCAGGGTGTGCACCAGGCCTGAGGTATTAGGGTGACAGCTGGGTGGAACCAGACAGTGCTGGTAGCAGATAAATCAGATGTGAAGTGGAGCTGGGCTTTCTCCCACGAGGGTACGTGTGCTGTGTTCAGGGCAATATCTTGCTGGTTTACAGTATAAAGTTAGACAGTGGCCTAGATGAGTGTGGTCACTAGCATATGACACTCTTTCTGACTTTGTGTCTTTAAGATAATAATTGGCAGAACTCTTAGTTCTGATGCAGTGAAGTTCAGGGAACTGAAGTTTGTTAGAGTTGAACTAGAAGTAAACCTTGCGTTTTTTTCTGGCAGCCAAAAGAAGCCTAAAATCCAACACAGACACTCTTATTTTTCTAGTTTTGCCTGTTGACGCTCTGCTGTTTTGGAGAAGTTAGAGAGAAATGATTTCTTATGGTGAAGCTAGTAAGGATCTGTTACATTTCAAAAATCATTTTCAGGTACTGTTTTGGGTTTTCCATGATTAAAGCTAGTTGCTGACTTAGATAGAATGAACGTTAGTTCAATAATTGATTTTTTGAAGTGGCTTCCCATTTTGTGATCTTGTATCTGTGCTGCTAGTTGGCCTTTGTATTTTAGATAGTACAAGATCTCAACTCAACGTAGAGTTTTCTAAAAAGCAAATGTTTCCTTTGTGACCTCCAGCCCCCTTTTAATTCCTCTGGTGTACAGAACGCCTGGCAGATTATCCATGATTTCCAAACAGAGTGTGGGAAGCGCCCTCCCTGGGCACTACTGGCAGCGCCAGCGGGAAGAGGCAGGGTGATGCCAGGCCAGGCCAGGCTTTTAAGGTTGGGATTTTGAAGTAGTGAAAGCCTCTGTCCTATGAGGATTGAGGAATGATTGTAACGCTCGGAGAAGCAAATACCAGGCTGCTGTTGAACGTGGTGCTCTTGCAGGCCAACTCTGATTAGAACCGGACAGACAGGGCCCGGCCCCGTGGCTTAGCGGGTAAGTGCGCACGCTCCGCTACTGGCGGCCCGGGTTCGGATCGTGGCGCGCACCAACGCACCACTTCTCTGGCCATGCTGAGGCCACGTCCCACATACAGCAACTAGAAGGATGTGCAACTATGACATACAACTATCTACTGGGGCTTTGGAGGGAAAAAAAAAAGGAGGAGGATTGGCAATAGATGTTAGCTCAGAGCCGGTCTTCCTCAGCAAAAAGAGGAGGATTAGCACGGATGTTAGCTCAGGGCTGATCTTCCTCACAAAAGGAACAGAACAGCCAACTAGGTCCCAGTGCCCCTGTGTGCACCTCCACGGGAGCTGCCTTTGGGACAGAGCAAGTCTCCATGTGCCCAGAGCCCTCAGGGTAAAAGAGGAGGAGCTTGAAGCCTCTGCATGGCGCAAACGACACAGAGGCTGCCTCCCTGTGTCATCCGGGGCCTTTTCTTGGAGTGATGAGGTCTCTGCCTGCTGGCATGTTAATGGGGTCTCAGGAGCCAGTATAGGTTCACTTAGCCCCCTTCCCGGAGAGGGGAGGAGCGCTAGGCATCAAGGTCCTATTTCAGTGACCCTTAGCAATGGCCCCAGATTGAAGGGCAGCTGCAGGCCTTGTCCAGTGACTTGGCCTTTGTCCATGGCCACTTGGGCTGATTGTCTTTGGTTTAGGTGGAGGTTGTAGGAAGCCAGATATTTGCCTAAATCTTCACTTTGGAACCCAGGTGATGGGCAGGAAGTAAACAACCCAGATCCTCTTGAGTTCCACA